AAAACAATACTAAAAAAGGAAGATCCAAGAAGATGGAAAATCAGGCTGCGGAGAGCTGGCCACTATAGGGCTAGCCATCTCCCTGCTTGAGATATTCTCTCCCCACCCCAGGCCAACTGGCAGAACCAGGTCTTCAAAGCCCTCTGGAAGGCCAGGAGTGAGAGGGCCAATAGCATCTCCAGGGGCAGGATGTTCCAAAGAGCGGGGGCTACTGGAGAGAAGGCCCGCCTTCTGGACCCCGCTAGATGGAGTTCTTTTACTGAGGAGCTCCGGAGCATGGCCCCTCTGTGCGATCGGGTGGGACAGGTTGAAGACATAGGAGAGAGGCGGTCCCTTAGGTAATCTGGCCCCATGCCATGTAGGGCTTTAAAGGTAATAACCAACACCTTGAATTGGACCCGGAAGCAAACTGGCACCCAATGCAGCTCGCGGGGCAACGGTGTTATGTGGGCCCTTCTTGGGGCTCCAAAAATAGCCCACGCAGCCGCATTCTGGACCAGCTGTAGCTTCCGGATAGTCTTCAAGGGTAGCCCCATGTAGAGCGAATTGCAGTAGTCTATCTGGGAGATAACAAGGGCATGAGTGACTGTTTGAAGGGCACCAAGAGTATTGAGGGTATCAAGAGTCAACCTTGTCCAATGCTGGTGAAAAACCTTTAAATCTAGCACCTGAATACATTTCTTTTTCTCTTTAATGCTGCTAGTCTTTGATTATGCCCCCTCCCCCCAATGTTCACTGTATTTGTTTTGTTTTAGATCACAGGATTTGTCATGCACTTTGCCAAAAGGTTGCAGATTAATTTATATGTGAGACCGAATTCAAAAATCACGTAAGTCTTGGCTGGTTTTTTTTTTTTTTCTGTTGGGGAAACATTGGCCAAATGTTTCCTTGACCTGCGTTTATGATTATCAGGAGAATTGGCTTATGGGCAACAGCATCTTGGGGAGGGGTCAAAATCTGCAAGATGAATGGCATGACATCTTCATTGAAGCTCCATCCCGTTTATATGTGCATGTTGTAGACACTGCAGACTTGGCTTTATAAATCCAGCCTGACTTAGATTTGGGCACACATTCCCCACTCCTATCAATATCTTACGGATAAAGTGGAAATTGCACCTTATTTCTGAG